TCATCATTTTTAGCCCAAAACGTTTATTGCGACCTTTAATCTTTCCCCAGCTTATGTTTGGTGCTCTGGCGGTATCCCAGATCGCTTGCAGTCACGGCTATCACATCGAAGTTCCATCTCAACTTGCACCAACCATCGCAACGGTTTTGAAGTGGTCTTCTCCTCTACTGCATTAATCAAGTTGCATGAAAGACAATAAAGAAGAAGGAAACAGTCAAAAGCTCAATTTAAATAGCACGGTCATTCGTGGGTCCCTCTCCTGGGGAAGTGCTTCCGTGCATGTTAATCTCCCTGAAGGTTTCACTCACACTTCCACACCAATCTGGCAATGTGTGGGTGTGACTTAAAAGCATCCACGCCATCACCACTTTGATCCATCTCTCAGACCATTTTTACACGTGATTACCGTGGGTACTTCAGCCCAATCTAGCCGCGCATTTCGGTGTGATCTAAGATCAAACAGGTCATCACTGCTTCAGCTCTCATAATCACTTGTTTCCGCAAATATTCCAATCAACCAAGCTCGTGATGCCCCTTAAGATACTCTCTAGCATGAACCACATCTTGCATCCAGCTCTGATGTAGTCCAAGTTGCGGAATATATTAACACGCATACAGATCGCCTAAGCCACCGAATACGGACATTGGTGCTAAGTGCCATTTTCAGTATGATTGCCGAGTACGCTCGTTTGCGGTATCATCAATATCCACCCCATGACTTGTCATGTGATTCCGGATTTATTAATCCCCTTGGTATCACCTTAAAACAAACAAATGTTTCTAACCGTGGCGGGTCGATTTAAAGCAATTAAGATGTGATGAGAGTGATAATGGTATTACATGCACTGTAGGAGCGAACTGGTATTCTCCATGACTCTTATACAACTAGACATACATTGTCAATGGTATACCGACGCGAAGGTCTGAATAAGAATTACTGAGATATTGAGTACACCATGGCGTGTCTTGTTGACTGATGTCCTGATAAACGACGCAGGTACCAGCAACCACTTGACTGGGTTAATAACCGAAAGGCCAATTGCGGTGGTTTCTGTGCGAGATAGCGTTACACGCTTTTTATTGCCTGAAGCTCCTCGGCCTTAACGGTCTTTCTTTGTGCTGTGTTCCTGCTGGAATTACTCCTCATTATCATCCTCGTCTACATCATCATGTTAGCTGAAGGTGGGAAACACACTTCAGCTAATTTGCCGCAATACAAACAGATAGGATATGTAAAAAAACGAGGTACAGAACATATTAGAATATAATATAAAAATCAAAGAACTAAACTGATGCTCAATATCGTATTTTGATTCACATGGGAAAATGCGATTGGCGGTGGTAAATAAGCGGGAGCGGTGCGACAAAGAAGCTCACAATACAAATGCAATTGAAATCGATTTCGCCATTTCAACAAGTGTACCAACCAAACGAGTTTGTCGCTCTCTGGAGGCCAACTAGGCAGCCTGGGGACACCGACCGAGGCCAGTTCCGAAATGATCGTCTTCACTCAACTTGAACAAGTCATCGGTTGGGCTCCCCTATCTTCGTCCCGTTCCTACCCTGGTAGCACGTGCAACGCAGATTGCGGGAGTCAGTTTGCTGGTATGCGTAAAACATTACCCGGCTATCGGAGCATGATTCGCGATGTAACGGTGCCGGACAGTTTACTCGCTCTTTCTGCACCAAATTCACAACGTGGAACCCGCTCATTGCTCACCCGGTGTTCCCAGCAGATGTGAACTATGCTGCGAAGGCAACGATGGTCACATTTAACGAGACTCTTTGTGTCTGTCCACCAGATGGGTCAGGTTTCATAACCGTATAGGAGGATTGGGCGGACGGCTGCATTGCAAACTCTGTCCTTCAGGGCGAGAGTGATGTCGCGCCGGCGTCACGGGTAGCGGAGATTGACAAAATCGCTTCAAATTTTTGCTATGCGGTTTACGGTCTCATCTTTTCTTCCATGAGTGCCGATATAGCTACGTAGATACTCGAATTTTTAGACGACTTCTAGCTGATCACCACCAAGGATCAGGGCAGGATTGTGTGCCTGCTAATCTTGGAGAAGGATTTTACATTTCGAGGGAGCAAAACATAATCCAAAACGGCGGACAACAAGTGTCAATCTATCCAATGCTGTTTGACACGTTTAGAGTCGGTCTCAGATTGGGTCAATGTGATCGGCGCATCCAAGTCAAGAAGTCGCTCAACTGAAAGCAGTTCGTTTCCAGCGAACTCCGTTTCCTTGACTTGTTCAATGGCGAACTTAAAGAGGATGAATTATAGCAATCAACCTTTCTCTCACACCGCTGTAGATATTGAAGGGCGACGGCAGTTAGACGTCTGATATACGTCTGATATCTCATTCGACCTCTGCGCGTGAAGGCGGTTCTTACGGGACTACCCAGGGATTAGAGAGGAGTGATTCGGTTATTGCTGATCGCGATTATATGCTAGTCAATAGTTACTGCACATGAGTTTCTTGGTCGTAACATTCTAATGCCATGTGCTTTATTACTTTTAATCTCTTCATCGCAAGCCATTGTTTCCTGCATTCCCTCTGCTCTTTAGTGCTAACCCCTAATTTAGTTTTGGTCACTCGTCTATTGAGAGATCGAGTCTATCTGCAGCTTTGCTATTTTTTGGCGTATATATATATATATATATATATATAATATATATATGCAAATATAAATCCGGATTTGCATCTCATTGCGGCTTCTATACAATAGTCACAGGACGCCTGCGCCTACAGAGGGACCCTGGGTGGCTTGTGCTGCAACACCCACAACTCCATTCACATCCCCCATATCCAGTATGAAGCCGAGGAGACATGTGGATAGGAGCCACATTTCATTAACGGCGCCGGCCTACACAGCTTAAACATGCACGGCAACAGCATTCATGCGCACCAGAGGTACACAAGGCTGGGGGTGTGCCGTAACCCGCTCCACGCTGGATGAATAGAACCACTCTTAGACTCTAGCACGGGAATCGTGCACCCGTTCCGCCCAGTAATCAAGGTGGAGGGTGTTTGCTAGGTAGTCTCCTTGTCAACATTCACGTCAAGTGCAACGAAACCCGTACTGTAAAGTAATAACCAACATCCGCAAATCAAGAAAAGCAACACACACAGGCGAAAGCACAGCCCAAGTTGCAGGGGTGATGCAGCGTACGTGCCAAATCAACTGCGTTTTTGGCCACGTTTAGCAAAATAAACTGACTCGGAAACAACGTACTTACCAAGCGTTGCGCTGATGATGATTGCCTATTCAACTGACTCGTCGCCTCTTCCATGTTGAATCCGCATGGCGACGCTGCTGACTTACTAAGTTGATTTGGCTCAGGTACTCGCGACCTTAGGTGCTACAGCGCAATGAGCTTGACATCTATTGGTTACCCTCCATCGGAGCCTGTCTCCTTCGTAGCCGGCTTTTCTTTTCCTCATGCAACAGTGCTTTTTCATGCAACTGGACGATCTCCCTCTTGATCAGCTTAAGCCAATGGCGCTAATCAACTGACATCGCCTCCCAACACCTGAATTCAAAATCAGTTCGTGATAAACTCACCTTGATCATGTCCTGGTAACGTAACTTCGTTTATCCCACGTGCCGCTCCCCTGCACGCAGTTGGCCCTAAAGCAGCTGTTTCGGTGTCCGGTCGAATCCATGCGGCGAATACGTCCGAGCTACCTCAGGTGCCTCAGCAGAAGTATGCAGTCCACTGAATACATATCACCGCGCCAGCGCATCTCCGTGTCTGCTACTCGGTCAAGCGAGTCGATGCGCATAATACGACGCCGATACTGTCGATGGAATCGGTCCGGATATCGGACCTGCTTCCGATAAAGCGTCCAGGTTTCGCTGACGTATGGAAGAGCGGACAGCACCATCGACCGGTATACATTCATTTTCGTTCTATCCGTGAGCTGTTGATTCCTCCACACACGATATTCCAGTCTGCCAAATGCACCGGCGGCTTTAGTTAAGCGGATGCGCAGTTCGCTCATCATTTGCAGGTCGGTTGATATTACGTTCTCAAAATAGTAAAATTTGATGCCGTCTCCAACGCGTCATTAACAGCAGCCTGGATTTAAGGCAGGTCCACTGACTGCATTCCTGATGAAGACTGATAACAACCAACAGTCTTGTTTGTGTTTATGATGAATCCGCACGGGGACGCTGTCGAAGCCAGAGCGGAGGTCATATGCTGCGACTCATCCGCGCTGTGTGCAATTAACGCACAGTTGTCGGCAAACGGATACATACAGATGGTTGTCTGACACAGGGGTTCTCGTCCCGAAACGACGAATGATTAGCAACTCAGCATCAGTACAGTGCTCTACCCGCACCCTGTAATCACACGCAGCATCAAAAGAAAAAGACAATTGAATAAAGGTAGATATTAAACAGAGCATGGGCTAAGACAGTCTTGCTTCACACTAGAAACAATAGCGAAGTCATCCGAGATTTGTCCACGCAGTCGCAGGCATTCCGGTAAACCGACAAACTTACTCGGACAACCAAATTTACCCAACACCAGGCGCAGTGCCTCGCGGTTCACCGTGTCAAGTGCTTTGGTGAAGCCTGCAAGCAGCGAGTACAATGGCTGGTGTCGCTCTCTGTATTTTCTCTGCAACTGACGAGCAGCGAACACCATCTGGATGGTGTTGCGGCTCGAATGGGATCTACGTTGCTCTTCCGCCATATATACATATTTCTCTTTTTGCCGCTTCAAACCGTTATTTGTCATCGTTTATTGTTTGCCTTCTTTTAATGTCTTCCACCATCACTGTTCCTTTTTCCAGCATTGTACATACGACAATGGGAGTTACTCCAAAAATCTCTCCCTCATCACCTCCGACTTGGCTTCCATATTTATTTTGGATAATTCCCCCGGTGCCTACCGATCCTACCCAGGTAAATCGAATGTTGCATGGTTTGTGTATTCTTGTGTCTCTGGTACGGGCCATTTGCTGGATTTGAGTGGTGGGACATCATCCTATTTTCCTGTATGAAGCCATTTCTCGCCACACCACTGCGCCTGCTTCTTGCATACTAGGTTTGGGTAGTTTTCGTTTTCTACCATATTCTAATCACGGTTTTAGATTTCAGCGATCTCTACATACTGCCTTCGATATTTGCCATAGACATCCACGAGTCATTGAAACGAAGACACTGCATAATCACTTAACGGTTAATCAACCGGTTTTAAGTCATTACCTAGAAGAATGTCGGTGTCTGTTGCATTGTCGTGTAAGCTTTTGATTCATCGTGGTCCCATCTTCTCTGTGAGCACATTTCATCTCTTGCAGTTTGGGTCTTGGCGTTCGAAGTACGTTTTGGGCTCATAGGTGAGGTATTGTTCAATCCCGTTTCCTCCACTGTTGCATCTTATCCATCACTAAGGCACGAGCTTACTTCCACTAAAGCCTGCTGAATTATGCCACTCGGCTAGTGAGTTGACTTGCAGTCAACACAACTCGTCCCCAGCTTCTGCTTTCTTAATGGTCGCGCAGCTGTCTCTGGAGGTACGTATCGTATATAAAGGTTTTCTATGGTTCTTCAAATATTTGGTGGTTACACCGTCTCGGGCGAATGCGGAATGGAGCTCTTTGGCACAGCCCAGATTCATCAGTCCCACCCCTACTGGGATTTAACTGTGCATAATAATTCACAGTTCACATTTTAATCGTCCTGTAGTCCTACAATCTGCTTTACCATCGTTTTCTTTGTAGTCAGCTCATTGCGAATCGAAAGTTGTCCTCGCTGTGCGATTCTGGTGTCGAAGTCGAGCATTTTGGTCCTCTTTCGAACACTTATGTATTCCGGTGTCTACTGGATTCGATTATGTGTGTTGCGATTCGAAGGACGACCGTTAGTGTAGTCACATCGCCCCTTTGTCTTCCGGATTCCTAGCGATTGGCCAGTGTGCGCTCACCTATGACCAGGTGTAACTACCTGCTGCGATGCCCTCACTCAGAATCTGGGAATCTAGTTACATACTAAGTTCTTCTCCATGTACTGTTACCAGCGTGCCTTCCCAAATGGCTACCATGGTCAGTATCACACTTGTATATTCCCTCTCCCAACGTTTGTTGTGCCCCATCGTCCCCTTGTTGTATGACAACTCCTTACCTAACCTCGGTCATAGAAGTTGGAAAACGCTTGCGTATGCTTTTTGCTCATTCTTTGTAGACTGCATGTTGTTTTTACCTGATATGATAGCTCGCGGATGAAGCAAATTCCTCCCCCCGCACCGTATTGTTTCATTTTTCTCCCCCGTCTCACGATCAGATAACGCCATACCTATTCGCTCCTGGTTTTCTGATGCCCACGACACCGCCCTCCTATGCCTTTTACCAGTGCTGGATGCGCTTCGATTCGTGAACGATGTCCGTTCTGTGCTCAGCAGGAACCTGTATCGACCACAAGCACTTCTACCGAGCTGAACTCCAACTCCCAGATTTTTTCTGCCCTCTGTAGCAATTGATGTAAATGTACCACTTCCAATTTTAGGTTTTTTCCCTAGCTTTCACATATTTCATGGGCTTTGTGCTTCCCCCAGTGTACATTTCTTCCTCCAATCATCGATTCACTCGCCTTTAGCATAGCGGTTCATTTCGTCCACTCCATGACTACGCTCCAGCTACATTTCTCCTCCCCCCGTCCGCCTATGCTTTTTCCTATCACTCCGAGACTTGTCGGATTCGCCGCAATGCCATGTGTACATGTTTTGGCCTCGTTTGACTTGAGGCATACTTGCCTACACGCTTCCACTGATGATCGACACTCTTTTGCATTGTTTTTTCATCACTCTGATCGTCTTCCTTTTGTTATTTCTCATACCCTCCCCGATCCCTTTCCGTTTTGCTTGTATACAGCCCCATCGAAACCAGGTTCTCCATTTGATACCTGTGTGTATGAGTGTTATTATTGCTCTTCAATCGAGACAATGTCGCCAACACTGATGAATTCATGACTGTGTCCTTTTGTGTGTGTGTGTGTTCCCATGGGGACTCCTAACGGGTCGCTTGTACACAGTAGATAAATTAGAGCACGAATATTGCTATCCAGTATTCCAGACTTCTTAACACATCGCCGCTACCGTCATGGCATTTTGCCCTTTTCCTCACCGGTTACCTCCCCACCTGATCACGCCTAGTTGCGTATCGACCATTATGGCACCATCTTACCTTAAAGTGCAACTTTTTCTATCCGTGCTTAAGTCACCCGTGGATTATACCGTTTGCCATCACAGAATTCTCGTTTGCTGCGTATCATTTTGGGCAACAACTAAGTGTGACTCCCACGCCAGTTCGTCGTTTTCGTTACACCTTCTATGAGCGGTGACCAAAAAGTTTCTAGGCCTCGAAGAAGATGCACATTCCGGTTTAATTCTCTGCTCTAGCATCGTTCACTGTATTGGAAAGGGCGTATGTACGAATTGGCTCCATTCGACAGCTAGTACGGTTCGCTTGTTCAGTAGGTTGAGTGTGGGCAATGCTGCCTGCCTCCAGCTACATTTCAACGATCTCGAGTTCGTTCGATCCATTGAAATGCGGCCGTAGCATGCATTTCGTTGACTGTTCCACATGTAAGGGGTGGCCAACGGAGTTGGAGTGCAGTTGGCTCGTATCCGCCGCAACTTGGTGAGCGCATGTGAACCCTTCAACATCGGGTTGTATGTCTCACTGTCCATCGAGGCAATTTGTGAGATGATCAATCAACCTTGCAGTGACACTGCGCTGCGATTATCTCTTGCTCCCCGTACATCAGGTGGCCTCTAGTAGTTTGATTTTGCATGCCTGATGCCGGCTTCGAACTAACATTCAGTCCTTTGGTTACCTGGCAAGTGACTATCTTCACTTGGTACTGGTGAGTCGCTGTGCGTCGTAGCGATTTGATGTGAGTTACTTTACTCGTGACTTGGTATGCAGTTATGGGCCGTGCAAATCTGACACACTTCGTAACCCTGAACTCTACGCGGTTTCACAGTGAACTCGCCGAGTTGTAGCCACCGAGTAAGTCAAATCCTAATGCAGACTCAGTTGTTGGTTTTGCCGAAGTGCAGCGTGGTGCGTCCCAACTTTGTGCTAGTCACAACGAAAATCTTCGGGAGTCATTGAGACCAAAACAGAGCATTCGATTCACATCTATCCATCAGTACGAAATTACTGTAATGCTTGATTAGTTTGCAACCGCAATCAGTGCGTTTCTCTGTCTATTGCTGGTTTGCCAGCATTAGGCATTTGGGTGATAGGTTGTGTGTTTCCAAATAAGCAACTCCGCATGCTACTGCAGGTATACCTATCGGAAATCCTGTGACGAGACGACTCGACCGTTTCGCTCCAAACACAAATATGCGACGAATTATTCGGAACCTGTAATTTCGTTGCTTCATTTTGTTTCCAGTCGGTCCGATTCGCCGTACCCTCCGATCAGCTGACGATGGTTCTAAAGTTCCTTTAGTAGTTCAACGCACGCCATCGAGCACCAGTGCTTTTGTCCTCTCGAGCCCAGTCAACAAAATGGAACATGGTCTGGACGGTAAAACATAACACATTAGGTGGCACCAACTGTGCAGAGAAACGGTGATTCCACAAATGGGTTGTCGTAAACAAATGTGGCCCATCAGACTCACGAATATATGGTCTGGCCCGTGGATCTCAAGGGCCTGGTTATCGTGGCGGTTTAAACTAGGCACTGTGTACCGGGGTTCACTCTCACCTCAGGGTTTCTCTACCTGATGAGTCCAAGCAAGAAAGAATTGCGTTGTGGAGTGCGAGATGGGAGAGTGAGGCACCGTAATTCTCTACTTCGAGTGGTAGTAATTCCACTGTCGCAGTCGCTCCAATATTGCATAGTGAAACGGAGCAAAACTGGGGTGCTTAACTCATAAGCCCCTCTTGCTTGCGAAAAGCCTCATAATAATTTACCGGATTCTGTAGAATCAAAACCACATTTGCTGCAGGCTGCTGGAATTGAACCACAACACCGAGGTGATAGCTCATCTATTGAAGCTGAAAATACAGTACAACTAGTAGGAATGCCGTAAAAATCTACTCGCTTCAAATATATATATATAAATATACATATGTATAAGCAAATGTCTACACCATAAACAATAAGTCATATAATACCATGGAATGAATAAGCATAATAAATACAAGTACACGTCATAAAAAGTATAACTAACAGTATATTTCACACACTGTTTTGTCTTTTTGTCAGTTTTGTGATTACGGCAATGATCAGTGGAATCAGTGCATAGACTCATGCAAACATGTCGAGGAATGGAGTCAAGATCGTGGTGAAGAATAACGCGACTCAGCTGAGCATAATTTTCCGTTGCTGGAAAACGGCTAGATCTGGTACTTGTGTTCTAGATGCAACACATATTATCACGCCAAGCGTGCTTCTTAAATGCGATGGAAATGAAAGCCAATAAACAAGCTCTTTTTGGAGCTGCACTGATTGTACGGTCCTTCCACTCATTAAATACATAGCTATATTTTGCGCAGAAATGCTTTAAGCTAATGGTGATGGTCGAGGAATCTAAGCTTAGTAAATGCTACCCTTCGGATTGGACTGCAGACGGGCTGGGCACCCAAGGGTCCACAGTTGAACGTAGTGGCCGAACCACAGGTAACGGTAAAACCGTGTAGCTGAATACACAAACAACTCCAATCCGAAACCAGGCAAACAACTTAGTTCTCTCTACTACGGTGACTCCCATGATGGCCCAGTCGATATTGCATGAGAACAAATCTGTGGAGCATGCTATACCGGCACAAGTGAACATATTGGCTGCAGCTGTAGGCGTGATTACATATGCGCCCATGGCAGCCGCCCAAGCACCAAGAGCAAAATCGATGGCTACAGCTTCTGCGATCATGCAGTGCGCTAGAATGCCATACCTAGGTCCATCACTCCACCGAAAATATAAACCACACAGCTTCACAAACCGGTTATTTGAAAACGAGCCCAGGAGCCGCTGACGATCGTACCCTCAGTGTTGCTTAATTTAACGCGAACACCATAAAATATAAAACGTTGAAAGACCGAAAACAGTGGGATTCCATATGTCTACTAATAGACGCCTAACGTGAGCCGGCGAGTATGGTACGGTATAAAAATTCGATCCATTACAGGGAATCACGGTTGTTACGTGTGTCGCTGCAATCAGCAAACTATATTGAGGCGATTCGTTTATCGGCCACCCGTCTTCGGACTGACTCATGCAACATTCAGATTTTTCCAAACGTGCCTTGGAGCGAGTGCCAATGAAGAAAACAGATCTCAGATGACTGCCACCACCGGAACAACGAAAGGTCGCTATTTATTCATGGTGTATAGGCGCTTCAAAGATCTGATGACCTTGAAGCACAGTCGCATTATTGGGCGGAATGGCGATAACTACGTCAAGCGCTCTCACTCGACAACGTGATCGCCAAATCGATCATAATACCACCCACATCTTTAAAGTACAGTGGGTGTGGCCCTAAGGTGATGGAAGTTGTACTCCAGTCCAACAATGGCGAAAAGCACACTTAAAACCTGGTACAAGTGGCCTAGGAAGCTTCAATCAGACCTACGAATAACAACGTTCAACATCAGACTCCATATGACCGAAGTCTGACAGTGAGTCCATGAAGTGTAATGAGGTTTGAGCAAACGACTAAGCCTGGTCGGTCCGACAGTCCAACCGCGGATCATAGAACGCAGCAAATCCGTCCAAGCGAGGAAACTTCACGCTACTGGACGATGACAAATCACGTGAAAGAAAACCAATACTGCGCCGCGGCAAACATGCCAATAGCAAGTTACCTGGAACGAAAAGCAGGAAGAAGAGCTTGGTCAGCTAAATGATGGGTAAGCACCGACAACCCAAACTCGCTATTAACGGCAGATCTTCCGTGTATCGGCTGAGGATCAGCGGACCGAAGAAATACGACCAATCTGGTACCAGCCATACAACGCAGGGGACATCAAGACGCAGTCCAGCGATAGAGCGGATGATGGGGCAACTAGGAGCCAATGAAACAGAAAGAAAGAAAACGTAGCCAATGTGGCTAACCAGATGACTGACTACTCAGTGAAATAGTGCGAACAAAAGTATTATAAGTTTTCCATAAATATGCGAGACCTCTAGCTATAAACGATTCTGCTCACCGCTACCGACACTTCGTTTTCAATTGCCGTCGCATCCTACAACGATAAGTCTTAGTTGTGAAGCTGGCAACTGCGGATCACAATCAAATTTTGAAGTGTCAGCGACTTTCCCAATACTTACTGAAACCGGAACTTCATCCTGTGACCATTCTACTAGCCAGTATGAAGCGGCTTAAAGTTCAATAGCAGCAGTTCACGAGAAAAAACGATTAGTTGCCGACCACGTAAGGGTCAGCAAAAGCTCGGACTTGCCAATCGCACCTTCAGATACACTGCT